TCCAACTTCTGGGCTCAAGCAAGTCTCCTGCCTCCACTTCCCAAGTAGCTGGGACCACAGGTGCCCGCCACAACGCCTAGCCATTTTTTGGTTGCAGCCATCATTGTTGTTTGGCGGGCCGGGCTGGGGATTCAAACCCACCACCTTAGGTGTATGTGGCTGGCGCCTTAGCCACTTGAGCCACAGACGCCAAGCCAGATCATTGGATTTTTGGGGAGTACTCAATTAAATGAGTAGGTACTCTTTTCATCATTGTTATTTCATTATAATGATAATGACGAGAAATAGTATTCGGATCAGGATTTTGGGCTGGCTTAGTGATCAGTTTTAAAGTTTTAGTTTGCTTCAAAACAATTGTTGACATAGCTACCATATTCATTATTTTCCAGGGTCATTATGCTGTGATGAACAACCCCACTAGACAGCCCTTGGCCCTAAATGTGGCATACAGGTACAGCATGCTTCTTTGGGTTTAGGGCTTGTTACATGCTGTTTTATGTGTTCTTATGAGACCTCTCTGTTTTTCAGGCGTTGCTTACAGATTCTGGCTGCAGGACTGTTCCTGCCAGGTTCCGTGGGTATCACTGACCCCTGTGAGAGTGGCAACTTCAGAGTACACACAGTTATGACCCTGGAACAGCAGGTATTGGCACAGTTGTGGAATGAGCTATTCCGCTCCTCTATTGAGTAATAGGAGGAAAGGAATGTGGTCTTTAGTGGTCAGGGATTTGGGGTTCTCAAAGACTTTGGTCCTGAGGTTGAAATTGTCTTTGTCTTTATTTTTACAAGAATGTTAAGTAAGGTACTACTTTTGATTCTCCTTGCTAACTTATCCTTACTTTGCTGTTCTTCAGGACATGGTCTGCTACACAGCTCAGACTCTGGTCCGAATCCTCTCACATGGTGGCTTTAGGAAGATCCTTGGCCAGGAGGGTGATGCCAGCTGTGAGTAAGCACTGTGGGTCACGGGTTTCTTTTTTTTTGGCCAGGGCTGGGTTTGAACCCACCACCTCCGGCATATGGGACCAGCGTCCTACCCTTTTGAGCCACAGGCGCCACCCAGGGTTTTTTATGAGGCAGAGTCTCACTTTTTCACCCTAGGTAAGAGTGCCGTGGCATCATAGCTCATAGCAACCTCAAACTTTCGGGCTCAAGTGATTGTCTTGCCTCAGCCTTTCAAGTAGCTGGGACTATAGATGCCCACTACAACACCCAGGTATTTTTAGAGACAGGGTCTTAATCTTGCTCAGGCAGTCCATCCACCCTGCCTCCCAGAGTGCTGGGATTACAGGCAGGTCAAAGGTTTCTTATTGTACTCTGTGGTACAAAGAGGCTCTACACTACTCAGATATCTTAATATTGCCACTGTAAAGCATTACTTGTGTGCTGGGCTACTTGTTTTTTCTTTTTTTGAGACAGAGTCTCAGTATGTCACCCTAGGTAGAGTGCTGTAGTGTCATAGCTCACAGCAACCTCTAACTCCTGGGCTTAAGCGATTCTCTTGCCTCAGCCTCCCAAATAGCTGGGACTACAGGTGCCCACCACAACACCCGGCTTTTTTTGTTATTACTGCAGTTGTCATTGTTTAGCAGGCCTGGGCTGGGTTCAAACCCACCTGTCTTGGTGTATGTGGCTGGTGCCCTAACTGCTGAGTTATGGGCACCGAGCTAAGGGCTACTTTTTTAAAATCACCTTTTTCTCTCAGATCTGGCTTCTGAAATATCTACTTGGGATGGAGTGATTGTGACGCCCTCAGAAAAGGCTTACGAGAAGCCACCAGAGAAGAAGGAAGGAGAGGAAGAGGAGGAGAATACAGAAGAACCACCACAAGGAGAAGAGGAGGAAAGCATGGAAACCCAGGAGTGATCTCCACTCCCTTTCCTACACCAGGGGAAGACTGGAGCCTAAGCTAGCTGCTACTGGGCTTTATATGTTGGCATTTCTGTGGGATAGGGAAGACCACAGAAGGAAAATCAGAAGTTTCATGCCATTGATACTGGCTTAATAGCCATAAGTCTCACATTTATGGCCGGTGCCATCCATTATAATGAAGCAGGGTACCATCATTTCTTTTGAGTCCCCCAACTCCTGAAAACCTTAGCCAGTAATTTTTTTGAAGTATTGTGAACTGTTAACTGTCCAGAAATTTTTTTTCTAAGAAAAACAAAAGTACTTCCTAGTAGGGTTTGTGGTCTTGTTTCTCCTTGGCGTGTGGCACCTTTTGCTTTGTATACTTGAGTCTTTTAACTATACACAGTTAACATCACAACTTGAAGCTGTATCTGAATTAAAGCAGACTCCTGGAATCTTTACATAGAATAAATTAGAATATTACTGAAGTATTTAATGAATTATGTGGTGGCTAGCATCAGTACTACTTATGAGAAGTCACAGGTAGAGAACTGCTGCCCAGGCCCATGTAACAAAGGATGTTTGTGGTTAACCAGGCTTGAAGAAGGTAGGCTTCTGATAAGTAACTCATTCAAGGAAGGAAGAGCCATAATTTAAGTCCTTTGAGAACCTTTGTCCAGCTGCACATAGGGCCCCTGGGGCTCCTCCATAAATGGGTAAGACCCAGTGCTTCAAACCACGGGGCTGCCTTTTTTAATGTTGCAAGGTCCAGGGCGGCACCTGTGGCTCAAAGGACTTGGGGGCCAGCCCCATATACTGAAGGAGGTGGTGGGTTCAAACCCGGCCCTGGCCAAAAACTGCAAAAAAAAAAAAAAAAAAAAAAATTGTTGCAAGGTCCAGAGGGATTGTCACCTAGAAGTTTTGCATGTGTGTTGAAGCAGGTCAGGTGGGGAACAGTTCTTGTGCTATTCTGAGGCTGTGGACTCATTTTCTGTTATTTACTTGGGGAACCAGGGGGGTAAACTCCTGAATCCAGCATTGCCCTCCTGCGGGCTGTTTCCTTGGCAACACTGTGGTTTAGTCGTCTCAGCCGTTCCTACAAGACAAGGAAAATCTTTAATCTTACAACTGCTGTGAAAGGTTTTTGAGTTTGAGTCAATTAGGCGCTGCATAGCCTTGGTTTACTCTACCTCAGAGTCTTCTGAAGTATATTAAAAAAATGTAAATGACAGCAACTGGGTATTGAGAATGAGAATAGTGAGTTTTT